AGCTATAGACAGGTTCTACTCAAATTTGTTTTTGTTAATTAAAAAAATAAATAATAAAAATGGAAAAAATGGAAAGAAAAAACTCTGACAGGTTGAGTTTTTATGGGATTGTGTGTGAGGAGTTTAAATTGGACGTAAAATCTAAAGTTAAAATTAAAAGGGAATTGAATTCTTTTCTGGTATAGGGTTTTTTTATCAGAACCCTATAAATACAAACCTTAAGTAGGCATTAAAAAACACACAAAGGGAAATACATTAACACATATACAAAAAAGCAAAAAAAAACACCCACAAAAATAATCAAAAGTTTGTAGATTTTTTTTGGTTTGAAAAAATTTTTGGTAGTCTTTTTTTGAAAAACTTTTGGAAAATTTCTAGATTCCAATGAAACTTTCCAATGACTTTCTAAGATCCCTAATTTCTGGTGAGGTTCCCAATTTTCGACATCCATTTTTCAAATTTTGGTGAACATTTGGCTAAATTCTGGTGAACCAACCCAGATTCTAGCAAAAATCTCAAAATCAAATAAAGATTCAACTATGTTTTTGGGGAGTTTAGAAAAAGAGAGAGAGAGAGAGAAAATGGACAACTATAGATAGGTTTTACTAAATTTGGTTTTTATTAATTAAAAAAATAAATAATAAAAATGGAAAAAATGGAAAGAAAAAACTCTGGCAGGTTGAGTTTGTATAGGATTATTTGTGAAGAGTTTAAATTGGACTTAAAATCTAAAGTTAAAATTAAAAGGGAATTGAATTCTTTTTTGGTATAGGGGTTCTTTTGATCAGAACCCTATAAATACAAACCTTATGCAGGCTTTAAAAAACACACACAGAGGGAAATACAGCAACACGATACAAAAAAAAAGAAAAAACACCCACAAAAATAATCAAAAGTTTGTAGATTTTCTTTGGTTCGAAAAATTTTTTGGTAGTTTTTTTTTTTGAAAAATTTCTAGATTCCAATGAAATTTTCTAGCGACTTTCTAAGATCCCCAGTTTCTGGTGAGGTTCCCAGTTTTTGGCATCCATTTTTCAAAATTTGGTGAACATTTGGCTAAATTCTGGTGAACCAACCCTGATTCTAGCAAAAATCTCAGAATCTAATAAAGATTCAACTATGTTCTCGGGGAGTTTAGAGTGAGGAAGAGAAAGAAAATAGGGAGAATATAGAGAGAAAATAGAGGAAATCTGGTGAAAAAGACTAAGTTTAGGCTTTTATCCTCTCATTAAAACGATGTCGTTTTGATTTTAATAAACCCACTAGGATCTGTGCGTTTTTATTCGAGCGAACCGACCCGAGTATAACCCGCTTCTGCCTATTTGCATTCCAACAGATTCTTTTTGCTGAGCTAAGCCGATGAGTCAAGCTTCTGAGCTGCTCTCTGTGTCTGTAGTCGAACTGAGTTCTAGCCATTAAGTTGAGCCATTTTTGATAGAATGGTAGAATAATTTAGATAAAATTTGTCCCAAATGGTAGAATAATTTAAATAAAATTTCAATAACAATAATTAATATTTATTTTCAAATAAAAAAATAAAAAATAAAAGATAAAAATATTAATAAAACTTTGAAAAAATGCTAATTACCCAAGGATGAGATTTTTAGAAATTTCAAATTGTAAATTTCTAAGAAATCTCTAGGTGAGAAATTTCTTTAAATTTGTCCCAAATGGTGGAATTTAGATGAAATTTCAATAAGAGTAATTGTATTATTTTTCACATGTATAAATTTGGTAGAAAATATTTGACAATTATCCAATGATGGGATTTTTAGAAATTTCAAATAGTAAATTTTCTATGAAATCTCTAGGTGAGAAATTTCTTTAAATTTATCTCAAATGGTGGAAGAATTTAAATGAAATTTCAAGAAAGTAATTGTCATGTTATTTTCTTTCAAAAAATAAAAAAATAAAAAATAAAAGAGAGAAAAGAAATAAAATTTCTAAATAGGCCCAAATGGTGGAATATTTAGAAATTCAAAAAGTATATTTCTAATTTACCCCAAATTGTGAAATAATTAGATATATCTTTAATAAAAAAATCAAAATAAAAAAATAATTAAACCTTTTTCTAATAACGGAGTCTCTTTGATAAAACAAATATGATTCTTGAACACACTTGAGGTGAGCAAATATTTTTAAGAGTTCTACCAGATTGATGGAGAATCTTAAGAATTATTTTCAATATTTGAACATAAACATTTAAGACTATTAGAATCAAGACCTTAGAATAAATTTAAAATAAAATGGTACCATCCTCCGGATAGGCATATAGAGGTGTTATAAACTTTCTCATATGTAATTGAACTCTCGAACCCTAGTCTGGTTAGTAGATCTAAATCTATTCTTTTAGGGACCCTTAGTTAAGTTTAGGAACTCCTTAAAATGGTAGATTCATTGGTGACCAATCACACTTAGTTTAAAAAGATTGGTGGTGATTCATTTGGTTAAGTCTAATTATAGATTTTCAGGTCTATATGTTATGACAGTAGTGATTTTGTGCTCAATTGGAAATGCATGCGTTTTGAATGTTCCTAAATATTTAATTGGTTATTTAATTTTAGTGGTGCACAGCATGCCAAAATTTTGAGATTGACATGTATTTATTCTCACAAGATGGCATTGTGGTTGACATATCAACATCTCTCTACAGTTGCATTGGTTAGTTTCTTAAGATTAAAAATCATTAGATTTTATTCATTCTAGAGTACAAGCTCAAGTGAGAAAGCAATCTATGTCTTTTTGACGGATTTTAACTGAGTCGAGCCACTACCTAAGTAACCTCAACTCTCTTTTGTTTTTGTAATCGAGTTGTTTTTCCAGCCAAATAAAATCAAGCCAAGGTATATAACTTTTTTCTTTTATTTATTTATTTTTGGAATAAGTTTTCTTTTCAAAGAATTTTTTTTAGGAAAGTTAATTTTTTTAAAATAAAAAACTTTTTCAAAAAATAAGGAAAAAGTTAAAATATTAATTTTTCCCTAAGATAAAATTTCAAGAAAATTTGAGAAAAAAGTTGAAGTATTAATTGTTTCTTAAATAAAAAATATATTTTAAAAAATTGAGGAAAAAGTTGAACTATTAATTTTTCCTTGAAAAAAAAATTTCAAAAAAAGTTTTGAGGAAAAGTTAAAGTATCAATTTGCGTTAAATAAAAAATATTTCAAAAAATTATTTGTGGAAAAGTTAAAATATTAATTTTTCTTAAAAAAAAAATTTCAAAAAAATGTTTTAAGGAAAAGTTGAAGTATCAATTTTTCCTTAAATGATGCATTAATTTTTCTTGGAATAAAATAAAAAAGAATTTTTAGGAGAAAATTGAAGTATCAATTTTTTCTCAAAATTAGATTTTTTTCCAAGAATTTTAAAAAATAATAATAATAAAATAAATGTTAAATGATCCGATGACGAAACTTTTGCAAGAGAAATAATGTTTTCTTGTGTACTTCCGATGTGAGAGAATTCTCTTAATTTTTTACCAAAATATTAGAGTAAATTACGAACAATTCTTAATAATTAATTATCTGGTAAATTTTTTTTTTAAAATTCAATGGATAACATGAAATAGTTGATACCATCCTTTGATGGGTATTATGAGGGTACTATAACTTTCTTCATACAAATCGTACTCTTAGACCTAGCTTGGTTTTGTGGACTAGAATTTGCCTTTTAAAAATACTTGAGTCAAGCTTGTGATTCCTCTTTAAAATGGAATAGTTTCAATTAAATGACAAATTGCAACTAAACAAAAATTATTGATAGAGACTCCTAAATTTATATCTAGTTATAGGTCCATAAATCTATATTTTATGACAACATATTTCAATTTTACTACCATACAGGTCCCTGCCAAATTGGGCCTTAATAAAAAGGTAACTTTATGTTGGATTTTATGTGGGGCATATGTGGTTACCATACTAAATAGGTTTCTTAAATGACAATGTTTAGGTGAAAAATTAGAGCAAAAATGGCAGTATACTTGTGTTTACGCTTGTATATTTGTGATGCATAAACAATAAATTAAACAGTCTGACGAGTGCACTCTTGTGAGATTGCATTCCATGCATGTTTGAAAAAGATCAATCTACACTTAAGATGAGAAATGATTTAGATCAAACACGTTCCAAACTAATTTTAAATATTTTTAAAGGACATTTCTTGGATTTCACACCTACCAAATAAAGGATCCTTCTCTAATGAAAAATGGCTATAAATTGGTTTCTCATTCTCATTCCCATCACTATTTCACTCAGCAAAATCTCTGGTATTCAATTATAGGCATCCATAGCAGTAGCTCTAGTAAGTCTCTCTCTTCTTTTTTTTTTTTTTAATATATTCCTCTTATATTCTCTATCAGATATATATCAAATCTAAAAGTTGATCTTCATTTATAATGAGTGACCACTTCCTTTTCTTGCCGATATAGGCATTTGCATGCATTTCAGCCGGAGGAATATTGGAGATAACAAAACAAACGGGAGGAAAAGAAAAGAAAATAAGAGAAAATTTTATTTATAGTTTCTGAAATTAAGGCCATACTAACTTGTATATTTATTTATGCTTTTATATCTTGATTAATTCACTCCATTAACCCATCTCTTTTTTAAATGCTTCCAATGATTTTCATGTCACTGTTGATGGTTTTTTCTTTTGTTTTTTTGTAAATATTTGCTTTATCTTTTTTTTTTTTAAATTTGATTACATTTTTTGATAAAAAATTTGATTACGTTCTAAATCTTGATATATATGACATTTCAAATTTCCTTTTATTGCATGCTCAATTCTTCACTTTTTTCTCTCTTCTTATTATATGATTCATATATGTAAAATAAAAACAAAATAAAAATAAAGAATCACATCCATTTTTTGCTTTCCACCAAGACTTTTTATCACTATTACAAAGTTTCTGACATTTTTTCTTCTGATTATTATTTTGGCTAGTCTTAGGTTTTCAGTGCTATCTATCTCTTCATCAAAAAAGCCCTTAATCCTCTAGATCCATGGATAATTTCCACTGGTTCAATCAGGCAGCTGGAATGAATGGCAGCAGCAATAACAAAAATGTAGGCAATAGGGTTGATCTGACTCTTAAGTTGGGATTGCCTGATTGTGATCAAAATCCAGCACTCTACCAGCTGGAGCAGTATCATGTTAATCCTGATTCAATGGCCCCAAACCTTTGCTTTTCTAGCCCCAACACTCAGGTTGTCTAACATTTTTTTCTCGAAGTCTTCCGATTGCTTAAATATTGGATATATAAGTAGATGTACTGCTCAATTCATTTTGCTATACACTTTCAGTTAGTTTGATGATTATATAAGAATACAAGATTTTTCTGCCACAAATTATTTTAATGTTTTAAAATAGAGTATGTAAACAAGTAATAATTTTAAAAAGAAAAGGTATGAAGCTTTTTTTTATTTGTTCCAGTGATCGATTAACATTTTCTATACAAAAAAAAAAAAAAGAGAATATATTGGCATTATCTTATGTAATTCATTGAATTTTTTTTTGTTTATAGGACTAATTCATTGGATATTGAATTTGGAGTATTTGTTAAAAAAGAAATTACTGATAATCAGCTAAAATTAAATATTACAATTGAATTTTTAAGACATAATAATAAATTTTTCTCTTATTAAAAAATAATGATTTTTTCCCTAAACGAAGAAAACAAATTTCTTACTGCATGTACCAAAATATTTTCAACTCAGTTGCAGTCTTCTAGATTAAAAAACGAAAATATCTTACCTTGTCTTTTTTCTTTTTTTTTTTTTTTTAACTTAGTTTTTGGCCTGAAGAAAATTTAATAAAAATGAAAAAACTTAACACCTTGTATGAAATTTTGTTGATTTTAATTTCTCTCATTTCAATATATACCGAGTCTCTAGTTTTAGTTTTAGTCCTTCAAATATGAAATTATAGTAAAAAAAAATTCATCTTTGCTTTTTTTGTCAGTTTTATAGAAATGGAAGTGCCAACGAAGTTTTACTGGTCGATTCTTAATTAGTTGCCTTGAATAGAAAGGGAAACAATAAAATATATTAATTATAACATTACTTTTATCCTTTTTTTAATAATAATAATAATTATAATAATAATAATTATTATTATTTTATTGTCGCTTTTTGTTTTTCAACTTAAAGAAAAGAAATAAAAATTTCTTTATTAGTAAAAGAATTTGAAAATTAAAATAGAAATTTACCTTAAACTTTCATTAAAACTATCTCCTGTATGATCTAAATGTTTGATTCTTTCAGTAACATTTTATCAACTATTAGCATGGGATACTAACAGTGAAAAATAATCTAAGACAAGTTTGCATTAATGAATAGAAAAAATGTATTGCAAATAAATACAACTGGACATTTTGGCTAATTAAAATAATGCAATATGCCAAATAAAGATCAACAGTAGTAGTTTGTCATTCTATATTCTTTAATTATTTGCATGATTCAGCAGGGAGTGTTTAATCAAGGAGCAATCGTTCAAGGTCAACAAAGCTTTAATGGCGGCCAATATGCGTGGCCATCTGATCACATGGCTAGCAATGTCCATAACATGAACTATGCAAATGCTTTTAACCAATTTTCAGGCCCTTCCCTTGGATTTCCTTCTTATAACTTTGCCCCTACTCATCATCACCATCAGCTGCTAGCTCCGAGCTTTGTATCTTCGAGCACGTACACGCTGCTTGACGTTCCTTCTAGGAGAAGAGCCAATCAACATCAACGAGAGCTTGGAAGCTCCTCTGGCTCCGGTTCGGGCAAGCCAGGCGAACTACGTCAACACGGTGGCAAATACAATGACCCTAACAAGCGATGCACTAACTACAACTGCAACACCAACGATACTCCTATGTGGCGCAAAGGTCCCCTAGGCCCCAAGGTATAAAAAGCTTTTCTTTACAAAAAGTAGTAGTCATATATTTTTTTTAGAGAAATATTATATTTGTTCTTAATTATATTGCAGACATTGTGCAATGCGTGCGGTATCAAGTATAGAAAAGAAGAGGAGAAAAGAAAAGCAAAAGAAGCCGGAAACAGAGGACAACAGTCAAACCCCAATGGCTGACACTAAAAAATTAATATCTCTTTTTTTTTTTTTTGCAATTTGTTTTGTTTAAATTTTGCTTTTTTATTTGTAATGAAAATATTTTGTTTGAGAAATCAATAGACCATTAATGGCTATATAATTTTATTTCATTAAATTCGGTTACTTTAAGAATATATATTGCATGCATCTTGAACAAATACTTTAGAGTTAATTACATTTGGTACTTCAACAATAAAAATGTATAAATTAGTATTTGAACTTTCAAATTGCATACTATGTCGATCTATATTAATATCATTGTAGATATCTAATTTTGTTTGAAAAGAATCTGGTTAGTTATGAGACTCTTAAAATTTGATCTGATTCAAATCCAACATTTTTTAAATCTTGCAAGTTTTCAAAATCAATTTAGGATCAATTTGACCTAAATTTTTTAAGGTCAAATTGGTCAAACCTGATCAATAAAGCCAAAATTGATAAAATGGGATCAAAATTAGTCAAAACGGATTGGTCTCAAATCAATCTTCAAAATTCACTACCAAATTGGGTTAATAAGCCTTGGGATTAATATTTGTGATTTTAATGCACTTAAAATTTTGATTGTATTTTGAAAGGGCAAAATTACTGAAATGCCTATTAGGGGTATTTTTGTAATTTGACTTTTTCAAAATTTGAATTTTTGTAAAAACTTTTAGATCACTTTTAAATATTATTTTATAATTTTTTGTGTATAAAAAACCTTGATTACACATCGAAAGATGTGAAATTATCAAAATACCCTTAGAAATATTTTCATAATTTGACATTTTTAAGGTCAGTGTCGTAACGTCTAGATCCGGGGATCTATCGCTAGACATTGGCTTTAGGGAGTCGCCACCAATCTTTTTTGTCTAGGTGCGATTGGCCACCTAAGGAATCTATCCTTTCAGAGAACACCTAAGTTTAAGGGTCCCTAGAAGAATAGGTTCAGGTCTGCTAACCAGAACAGGGTTCGGGAGTTCGGTTACGTGTGAGGAAGGTTATAGCACCCTCACAACGCCCATCAAAAGATGGTACCAGCTTAAATTTGTGTTATCCAAAAGCCTTAAAATTTTACCAAGTAATTAGTTATTGGAAATTATTCTCAATTGACTCTAATACTTTTAGCAGAAAATTGAGAAAATTCCCTCACCTCAAGAGTATACAAGAAAAACTACCGTTTCACTTGCAGAGGCTCCATCGTCGGATTATTTAAAGAAAAAAAAATCAAAATTAAGATAGAAAGGAAGGAAAGAATGATTTTTTTTAGAAAAAATTGATACTTTCAACTTTTCCCCAAAAATAATTTTTGGAAATTTCGATTTTCAAGGAAAATTGATACTTTCAACTTTTCCTCAAAAACCCTTTTTTTGAAAATTTATTTCTAAGGAAAATTGATACTTTCAACTTTTCCCCAAAAATATTTTTTTGAAATTTTGATTTTCAAGGAAAATTGATACTTTCAACTTTTCCCCAAAAATACTTTTTTTGGAAATTTATTTTTCTTTTAAGGAAAATTGATACTTTCAACTTTTCCCTAAAAATATTTTTTTTTTGAAATTTATTTCTGAGGAAAATTGATACTTTCAACTTTTCCTCAAAAATATTTTTTGGAAATTTATTTCTAAGAAAAATTGATACTTTCAACTTTTCCCTAAAAATATATTTTTTTGAAATTTTTTATTTTTATTTAAAGAAAATAAAAAATAAATAAAAAGAATATTACATAAACCCTTTTTTTGAAAATTTCTTTCTAAGGAAAATTGATACTTTCAACTTTTCCCTAAAAATATTTTTTTTTGAAATTTTGATTTTCAAGGAAAATTGATACTTTCAACTTTTCCCTAAAAATATTTTTTTTTGAAATTTATTTTTCTTTTAAGGAAAATTGATACTTTTAACTTTTCCCTAAAAAATATTTTTTTTGGAAATTTATTTCTAAGAAAAATTGATACTTTCAACTTTTCCCTAAAAATATTTTTTTTTGGAATTTTTTATTTTTATTTAAAGAAAATAAAAAAAAAATAAAAAGAATATTACATAAACCCTTTTTTAATAAATAAAAAATAAAATAAACAAATAAACAAAGAAATAAAAAAAAATTTAAAAAAAAAAAAAAACCTGGAGCGGCTCGGATCGCGGCTCGGCTCGGCTCAAGGAAGAGAAAACGGCTCGGGGGGAGCGGCTTGGCGGCTTGGCTCGGCTCGGAGGGGGCTGGCACGCGCGGGTCAGAAAGCGGGTCGACGCCCGGGTCGGGTCGGGTTCGGCAAAACGCGCGGATCCCTGGTTAACTTAAAGCCCAAAACGATGTCGTTTTGGGAGGGTATAAAAGGCACCTTCCTTCACTTTTCGGCAGAACGCTCCTCCCCCTCTCTCTCTCTTCTTCCTTTTTCTCTCCCTTCTCTCTAGAAACTGAAGAACACCGGTGCCGGATTCTGGAAATTTCGTCGGAATCTGGAAATTTCGTCGGAAGTTGGCCGGAAGATCGTCGGTTTCTGGGATTCTTCGCCGGAAACTGGGCTGGTCGCCGGAAACTTCAATGTTCGCCGGAATTGTTGCCGAAAAATTCAAATTTCGCCGGAATTTTCGTCGGAATCTAGAAATTTCCCAGAAATTTCCAGAAAAATTTTTCGCCAAAAATCTCTAAAAATTTTTTCTCACTCCCAGAACACTCCTAAACTTTTCCTAGCTTTCTATACGCCTCCTATTCTCTCAAATCAGTAGCTTTGCTTACTGTTTTCTGTCTCTTGCATTCTGTTCCAGAGTCCCTTTTATAGGGATTGATCAGGAGTTCCTGATCAATCTCAATTCCTCCTTGGACGGGAATTCAATCAGAAGAGTCCAGTCCTGATCAATCCCAATTCTTCCTTGGACGGGAATTCAATCTTTGAATCCCACTGGACTCTTCTGATTGAATTCCCATTTCCAATGGGATTCTTCAGCCTTCAATCTCAGCCCTCCAAAATCAAAATAAAATGAAATAAAAAACTAGATAATTAAAGAAGATAAATTAGCAGATATTATAGGATAAATAATAATAAAAAAATATATCAGATATATAATTAGATAAGTAAAATACAAAAATGAATAAAATAAAAAAGATAAAAAAATATATATATATACATAAATAAAAAATACACATAAATATTAACAAAAAATAAATAAATAAATATATACATATATTAATACATAATAATAATAATAAATAATACAATACATAAAATACAAAAGAAGAAGAAAAGAGAAAAAAAAATACAAGATAAAATTGAATTGGGCTTACCCATTTGGGCCAGGCCCAATTGATCTGGGCCGGACCCAATTGGGTGTCTACAGCTGCCCCTCTTTGCACATTTTCTGTGAAATAGAAATTGCGCAAAGACGTAGACACCCAATCAAGACTCAACTCAACATTTTTTGGTTTTTTTGTTTTTTTTGTTTTTTTTTGTTTTTTTGTTTTTTTTGTTTTTTTTTTGTTTTTTTTACCAAAGCTCCTCTAAACAGAGGCACCACGACTTTTGGAAAGTAAATTGCTCCTCTAAACAGAGGCAACGAACTTGGAAAAGTAAATTGCTCCTCTAAACAGAGGTACCACGACTTTGGAAAAGTAAATTGCTCCTCTAAACAGAGGCACCACGACTTTGGAAAGTAAATTGCTCCTCTAAACGGAGGCAACGAACTTTGAAAAGTAAATTGCTCCTCTAAACAGAGGCAACGAACTTTGAAAAGTAAATTGCTCCTCTAAACAGAGGCAACGAACTTTGAAAAGTAAATTGCTCCTCTAAACAGAGGCACCACGACTTTGGGAAAAATAAATTGCTCCTCTAAACAGAGGCAACGAACTTTGAAAAAGTAAATACTCCTAGACAATTATGTCCGAAGGAGTTGAAAGTTGTGTTTGAAGGGATTTTAGGAGATTATGCCCAAAGGTCTTATAAATCAACCCTGATACCAAGAGACATCCTATTTCAAGGATTAGGAACTTACCTGACAAGTTTCTTCTCAAACTTGCAAAGTCTTTTCATACCTGTCTTTTCCATGTGGGATGTTAGAACACCCCTGCTTCTTGAATTTATACACTATACTTTCCTGAAAGTAGTGTATGCTATGCAAATGCATATGAATTTCAATGCATGCTATGCAAATGTTGGCCAATTAATTCCTGTTCAATGTATGGTACTCAAGTTTCTCAAGCTCTTTTCTTGGGCATCAAGCCCTTTGATTCCTCAAAGATCCAATGACACTATTCTTCTAAGATCGAACCAGTGTGACTCTTAATTATTTCTTCCATTCAGATTCTTCCTTGTTCTGTTTTTCAATACTTTGGAATAAGCTTCATCAATCGATCATCACTTGACCATCATTCAATGAATTTCTCATCACTAACAAATTTCAAAACAAGTTTCATCCACCATCATTGAGTCATTACTCATAGGTGTCTCAGCATTAACCTTTCCAAAACAGATTTTGTCTTCATCATTCAATCACAACCTGCAAGTCATATCGACCAATTCATCCTCGTACTCATCACTTGGTTGTATCGCTGCCCCATTTCTTCATCATATATCCTTCTAAATCATCTCCTCTAGGTTTCTACCATTTCTTCATTTTGTCTCCACCATCATCTTAGATTTCTTTTCAAATGAATGTAAGATTCTTTTAAACACATATTCATTCATTCATTATCATTTCAATTCTTGACAAATATAATGCAATCAAGCATTTTCTCAATTCATTCTAGGGGTGAAACAATAAGAGAACAGAAGGTGAATTATAGTAAAGATAATCAATGGAGATCTATTTTGGTAGAAAATAAATGGGAAAGGAAATAAATTGGATGTCATTGAGGTGAATGGTATGTCCAAATGATGAATATTCAGATAATTTTCAACATTAATCTAGGATTCTTTTTCAAAAACTCATTCCATTTACTGTTGAAGTCATCTTGAGCTTGGCGAACTCTGCCCCAGTCTTTGAGGGATCTTCAGATGTCTTTGATCTTT